TTAAAACTTACGCCTGAAGACAAATCATCATCTGAGGATGATGAGTCTGATTCCTCTGTATCATTGTCATCATTATTCATTTCATTATCACTATCACTGTTCGTTTCACTATCACTATCACTGTTCGTTTCACTATCACTATCACTGTTCGTTTCACTATCACTATCACTATTCTTTTCGTGACCACTATCAATGTTCTTTTCGTGATCACTATCAATATTCATTTCATTATCACTAATATTACTTTTTTCATTATCACTATCTTTATTTTTTTCATTATCACTATTTTTATTTTTTTCATTATCACTATTTTTATTTTTTTCATTATCAATAGCATTATTTTTTTCATCATCAATATCATTATTTTTTTCATTATCAATATCATTATTTTTTTCATTATCAATATCATTATTTTTTTCATCATTAATATCATTATTTTTTTCATTATCATCGTCATTATTTTTTTCATTATCATCGTCATTATTTTTTTCATTATCATTAGCATCACCATCGACATTCTCGTTATTCTTTTCACTATCACTATCATTCAATTTTCTTACAACTTCCTCTCTTGCTTCTTTCTTCAAATTTTCCTTAAACTCCCTTAACGAGTTTCGTATTTCTTCTTTCATCTCTTTCAATTCTCTTGCAACTTCCTTCGAATCTTCCCTTAACGAGTTTCGTATTTCTTTCATCTCATTCAATTCTCTTGCAACTTCCTCTCTTGTTCCTTTCTTCGAATCTTCCTTAAACTCCCTTAACGAGTTTCGTATTTCTTCTTTCATCTCATTCAATTCTCTTGCAACTTCCTTCGAATCTTCCCTTAACGAGTTTCGTATTTCTTTCATCTCATTTAATTCTCTTGCAACTTCCTCTCTTATTTCTTTCTTCGAATCTTCCTTAAACGCCCTTAACGAGTTTCGTATTTCTTCTTTCATCTCATTCAATTCTCTTGCAACTTCCTTCGAATCTTCCCTTAACGAGTTTCGTATTTCTTTCATCTCATTTAATTCTCTTGCAACTTCCTCTCTTATTTCTTTCTTCGAATCTTCCTTAAACGCCCTTAACGAGTTTCGTATTTCTTCTTTCATCTCATTCAATTCTCTTGCAACTTCCTTCGAATCTTCCCTTAACGAG